AAATATTGGTGGTTTACTTTTTGTGTGTGTGTGTGTGTGTTTAAATCATTATTATACGTATTTACGGGAACTTTGTTAATGAAAAAACACATCTACAAATGGAATTAATATACGACTTATCATTTACTTTTTTTTCAAAAAAAAATATATATGATGAATCAAGCTTTGCTTTATTTTAATTTTTTGAAAATAGAGGGGACCAAGTTTTAGTAAAACAAAAAGGCCCTGTATTAAGTTGACCCACATATTTGTAATTCAAGCCTTTTTTTTTTTTTTTACTTGTTATCTCTAATATTTGTATGTGAATCAGCAATAACAAAATTTTATTTTTCTATCAAAGTGAAATTAATGTTTTTTTTTTCTGGGTTTTTATTCTTTTCCTCTTATTTATCCAAAAAAAAAAACGACTTTTAAGATTGATTATAGTCTTTGATTTATTATCTCTTATTATTGGGAGCTAACTTATTGTAGCGACAATCTTACCGAGCTTCCTTTGTTACACGCTGCTTCGATCAATGAAAAAAAAATTTTTCATGGCTATATATGAACAATAAATCTGTAAACCATTCAACCAGCTTTAGAAAAAAAAAATCTTTTTGCATTTCAATTTTATCTCTCTTTATAACCAATGTAAAGTCATTTTTATTTTGTCACATTAGTTATTAAGATTACATTAACAATTATAAATCAAAAACTCAGGTATCAGTCAGGTCCCAACTCATCCTTGCCTTGTCGTGTCTAATAGAGTCCTCTCCCCCCACTCAACAATCAGTTCTATCTGCTGTCTGTGTGAACAAGAAATTTTTGTTTAAATTTTTTCTATTTTTGTTTTTTTTTGGGTTTTTGTAATATAAGTATATTCAGAAGTATAAACCCCCCAAGTGTGAGAAAATATCCAATCCTATTGATTGTTGTCTGATATTCAGATTTGGGACTCGTGTGGACCCTTAAATTTAAAGTGAAGCTTGCAGAATAATTACCCTTTGAAGTTCGTAAAACTACTATTTCTAGTTGTTATTTAAAAACTTGTAGCTGCTTTAATCCTAATAAATACCTTTTTGCCTGCTCTCTGGAAGAGGAGGAATTGATACCATAATATATCACGAAACAAGGCTGAGTCTGGAACATACTCGTAATCTGACTCGTAGCACGTGATGATGTTATGGTGATTTATTTTTATCATTTGCGATAGAAATAACTCAAAAAAGACTTTTTTTTCTTCTTTCCTTCTCCTTGTTCCTCCTTTCCTTATCTTTAAATAATTTCTATTTTATTTTACATACGATATTAATCTTTTTTTATTATTATTATTTTTTATTTTTTCAATAATGACTACCGCCGAGATCCAGCAATCTAACGAACTCCCACCTCCCGCCTACGAGGATGACTGCTCCAACGTTGTCGTCCCCACCGAAAAGCACGAAGAGGAGGAAGAGGAAATCGATTACTCCGTCACCGACAAGCTTATTGATGACCGTGCGTACTACGATAATGCTAGCGCACCGGCACCATCTATGGAATCCAAGTCGCAAGACGGCAAGTTTGAAATGTCGTTGCTCTCCGTCACCAAGAAGCCTGACGTGTTTTGCCCCGCGCTGGTGTTTGAGCCCTGTATTTTTGCACGGTCTAACCGGGTTTTGCTCAGAGAGCCCGAAGCCGACCCAGCCACAATTGGCCAGTCATGGACTGACTACTTGAACGGTGACTGCATTGCGTACTCTGTCATGGCCTTTTGGTCGCACTCGATTGGTAACGTGGCGTGGCGCTCACTGCGTAGACGCTCTATTAGAAAGCGGTATGATATTGAAGGTAACTTTTGCAAGGATATTGCGGCAACCATGTTTTGTGCTCCGTGTGCCTTGGCTCAGGAAGACTATGAGGTCAAGAGCCGTGAGCAGGAGACTTATAACATGAACTTCAAGTATGACCAGCAGAATCTGGCCTCTGAAAACCTTGCTTAAGTGTTTTATCTCTTTTATTTCGACTTGTTTATGTCTTATCGGTTTAAACTTTTGTTTTCATTGAATATTATTATCGTGTTTTTTGTTTTTTTTTTTAGGTTCAAAGGTGTTGATTCTTAGCTTTTGGCTAGTTGAACTTCACGAACCTGTCGATATAAACCCATAGTTAAACACATTTCAGCAAGAAAAAAATTTTAATAAATTTACTATTAAATTTTACCAAAAAAAAAATAAATAAAAATTAAGAATAAAAATTACTATTACAATTAATATTTGTAGAGGACTATATAAAACATATGTATACTAAAAGAAAGTGAAAAAAAAAAAAGAATAGTCAATAGGATATAAAGGGCTGGTGAACTATGAATAGTCTAGCTACCCACTATTCCAGTTGCACGATATAAGAAGGTAGAAGGCACTGTTGATTTTTTTTTTTTTTTTTTTTTTTTTGTTTTTTTTTTTGTTTTTTTTTTAAAAAAAAAAAAAAAAAAAAAGACAAAACTAATCCTTTTTAATTTTTTTTTTTTTTTTTAAAAACAAAAACAAGTCTTGGTCTCTTGCTCCGTGGTCTGCTTTGCTGCAGCCGTGTTTGGCTTTTCAGCAGACATGGCGGGTTGTTTTGCTGGCTCGTTGCTAACGACTTTTTGTTCAGACAAAAGCTTTTTTTCAATAACAGCAGCAGCAGTTGTTGTTGTTGTGGCGGTAGTTACAGTTGTGGTTGTAGTAGTAGCAGCAGAAGTATTAATCTCACCAGGGAGACTAGTCTTTGTGTTATCAACAACAGCGTCGGCATTTGCTGATTTATTCCCAGTGGTAGCGCTAGTAGTAGTAGCCGTTTTTGTTTGTTCAGGGGCTGCCGCCTCTGCGTCAATAGTATGTGCTGGGCTACCGTCACTCACGGCCGCGTCAGCCGTAGGTGCATCATGCTGACTAGTTTGATTACCGTTTACTGGCAAAGAGCTCTCCTCAATCACAGCAGAACAAGTCGCAGTTGCAGAAACAACTTGTTGTAATTCATCTTGTTGTTGTTGTTGTTGGTTCTTGGTATGTGGTTCCACTTCTGGTTGCGAATTCTGCCCCCTTACGTCCTCTTCAAGCTGTATCTTATTGGCATCATTATTGTGTTTCAGTTGTTGCTCCTGCTCGTTTTGAAGTTGTAGTTGGTGCTCAGCAATGGCAACGGGATCAAAAGTGCTGCGTCTGCCGTTACTTTTAATTGCTGGTGATTCTAGTCGAGCGAGGTCTGCAGTGTTGTTGTTATTAGCAATGGCAGTAATAGTAGTAGTAGGTGAAATGGCAGGAGTTGAGCTACTGGTAACAGCGCTTGTGTCAAATGAAAAATTCAGACTGTCGCGGTTAACCGGATCACCCAGCAATTTGAAGGTATCCTCGCCAGTGTCAAAGTTGAGATCTATTTTAGGTGCCTCTTTAGAAACAGTCATTATACATATGGAAATATTGAACAGAATGAGAAGGTTTTGAAGTTAAAGGATGGAAAAAAAAAAAAAATTAAACGTTTGAGAGTTGGTATTTAAGTGTCAGAAAAGGGAAAAAAAAAAAAAAGGAAAAAAAAAAAAAGTTTTTTCCCCTGGTTTTTTTTTTTTAAAAAAAAACAATAGAATAGACCTCAAATATCAATTTAATTTTTTTTTCTAATTTTATTTCAACAAGCAAATAATCATGACTTCATATCGATGAATTCAATTGTTAGTGTTGCATTAAATATTGGTGATGTTACTGCATTTTTTTTTATCATCGTTAATTTATAGTACAAGGACCTTGAAAAAAAAAAGGAATAAAATAAATAAAATCGTTTTTATACCACATTATATTCTCTATCATGATCATGTATGTATAATTGAAAATCCAGTGATATTGGTTGTTTTTTTTGTTGTTGTTGTCACCAATTATGATGGTGAAAGGTCTTTTTTTTTTTTGTAGTCCAATTTTTATCACATATAATAGTTACTATCCGTAGTGGAAAAAAAAAAAAATAAGCAATGACCACATTACGACTAATGGCTTGGCCTTTATTCAAATTTTTTTTTCAATTGAAGTCCAGTTTTATATATCAGGACTGTTAGTTACGACTTTTTAATTATTTCAAAATATGGGACTTTTACTAAAGTCACTGGTGTGCACTTGACGGTGAAGTGTACGTTGGTGACACTATCAGAACATTAACAATTAATCATAAACAAAAAAAAAATACATTATTACTGTATGTTTAGATGAATAGCACTGTATTTTTTTTTTTTTTTTTTTTGAATTTCGCTATTTCCTTGATCTGTCAATTTGTGATACCAAACGGGTCTAACATGTTCAAGTATCAGTCACACACATGAAAATGTACAAGTTGCTTGATTTACTGACTAGACACTACCTTTATAAACACCACCAAGTGTTTGTGTTTAAATATTCATGGCTTTCTCGGCTTTTTAGCGATATAGTTGTTTTTTGCATGATTGGGAAGCTTGGTCTGATAGCCAACTGTCAAACTCAGAAACTTTTGGTTTCTCTGAGCCTTGTCGTTTGCTTGATCCGGAGGTTGGCAAAGTAAGTTTTCTAATAGCATCTTTTTTTTTTCTTTTTTTTTTTATTTTTGTCAATATTCCGACATTGATTGTAATGCCATCAAACAAACTGATAAAGATATGACTACTTGCATCACTGATCCTACTCTGCAAATTACTCTTTTGTGTTTATAAATAATAGATGCTAAATAAAAAGCCCTGCGGAATGCTTGACTTGATTTGCTTTTGGTTGCAATATCTTTGTTGACCTTTTAAACAATCAAACTATAGTCCGTCACCTATTGAGGTAGTATAACAAACGTCTAGACATTTTCAGCAAAGATGTTTTTTTTTTTATTCTTTTGAAAAAAAAATTTTGGTCTACATTACCGAAAAGCACTTTAGGTATTCATAGAAAAGAAAAAAAGTAAGAAATCGTTTGTTAGTTTTTAATGTATCAATCTAACCTGGTATTTTAGTTAAAACAAAAGTTTCAATAATTCAAACTGTGAAAAAAGAAATCGATCTCCGATACGGGGAATCGAACCCCGAACTGCCCGGTGAAAGCGGACCGTGCTAGCCGTTACACTATATCGGACA